TCCTGCAGAAGCAAAGCATGTTGTCGTGCTGTGTATGAATGACCATTTCCCACTGCCCTCCCCCCCCACTCTTTATTACATTATAATGCCTGACACTGTCCAAAGCAGCTACCTGTCTAAGACAACCACTTTTCTCCTCAACAATGGGTATTAAATTTCTTTGAGCGTCAAAGAGTCAAATGGTTCGGACATTTAACCAGAATGACCCAGAAACAACTAGCGGCAAGAGCTTACCACTACACTCGCGAAAATGCACCTTCAAATCAAGAGCAAGACCAAGAAGGACCTGGCTGGGTGGAGTTAAAAAGATCCTGGAACAACATGACATATCTATCACAGATGCCACACACTTAGCACTGGACCGAAACCTGCACCTCCCATCGACATCCTGAGGATACCAGAGGAAGGAAAAAGTTTTAAAAAGTAAATAAAATGGGGTAGTCATCTCGGTGTCCCCATCCTTCTTTTAGGATGTTGTGTCCTCTCAGCCTGCCTTGGCCCACACGGGCAGGGTTGAAGTAGCCCGCCTCCTAAGTGATCTAAATTGTGTAGATGAGGGCTTAAAACCACAGACTGAGGTGTGAAGACGAAATTGAGTTACTTCTCACAATCCGCGAATGAAGATATCAGCTGAAAATTGATGCAGGGGTGAGTCAAATTTGTAGATTTTTAACTGATGTCGTTTTTTAAAGAAAAGTTTAACCAGTCTTTTTATCATTTCATACGAATAAATTATACAAACTCGACCTATAAATTTGATGTATGTGTGTCCATAGGGCTAAAATCCTAGAAGTAACCCGTTTTTCAGCGTGCCTGATTATTATTACTTACTCTCGTACATGTGGGTGGTTGGCAGGTGCTCTGGAGTGGTTTGCTCCTCCTTTCTTATCAAACATCTATCCTCCTTATCACTTTGCAGTCACTTTGCACAATAATGCTCCGGTGAAAATGATCCGTTCTGGTCACCTGGCGTGCGCCAGGCCCCCAGAAGTCTGTTTCAGTCGGTCTCCTGGCTGGGTGACCAGATTGGGTATTTTGTACTGCTGGCTGTGTGACTGAAAAGTGTTATATGTCTTCCTTTTCTGTGTATGTAACTCTTCTCGTAACACCTCTACTTTTTGGCACTTATATGACCTAATTGTGTTGCAAGTGCCGCAATACTCTTACTACAACTCTTATGCAGTTGCGAGCGCTGTAAAACCCCATACTAAACTAAGCTAAAACTCCTACTAAAACGAAAACAAAACTGTCGTACATGTTTGTTTTGTTTTTGTTTTTACTTTCAGATCCTGTCGGAGAGAGAGGACCTGCTGGCCCACCCGCTGGTCACGTCTCTGCTCCAGCACAAGTGGAACACGTTTGGCAGCTTTTTCTACTACTTGTCCTTCTTCATCTACTGCATCTTCCTCACCTTCATCACGGCCTACATGGTCACTTCTGTACCGCCTCATGTATTGTAAGTCCTCTGGAATTGGGTCGTTGCATTTTTCCCTTCTCAGTAAGGGGGGGGGGGGGGGGGGGGAAACAATTACAGCGAATTATAGGCGATTTCCAGGTTGAGAACCATAGATATGGGGTACATAGAAGCGGAACCAATAAATTGGCAAAAAAGATATTAATCCGCATACAGGAAAAAGAGGCTAAAACAGCACCTGGACATGGATGGCTGGTGCCTCTATAAATAAATCATTGATGGTCAAGGTCACAGAAAACAACTATTGACATGGATTGAACTTCAGACTTTGTTCTGTCGCTTTAGAAATCAACCTTTAAACTTGAGGATGGAGACACGGGTTACCTCAAAACGACCTACAATAAGCGCTATAAGTCAGATAACTCTCTTTATCTCAGGACCTGCAGAGATCTGTGTCATGCTGTAAAGGAATAACATCATGATTTAACTTACCAATGTTCGCTGCCTGGCGACGAGAGATTTCATGTTAGCTCGTTATATAAGAGTACCCCTCTTATAAAAGTGGCTGTGCGTTTCGTAACTACACGTATTTGGATACGCAGTCTTCCCTGGGTGTCCATTTCTGAGCTGTGTTAAGGTAGGCTGAAGCTGAGACAGTCACAAACTGTTTACTAGCGTGTTGATAACTTAACAGATATGGTTTGCATTTTCTGTGGGTGTTAAACATTTTCATATAAATAGTTACTGATGATACGTTAGCAATACATTTTTTAAAGTAAACAAGAACGAGTAAAAATTACAAACAACGAATAACAAATATAATAGTCATAATAATCATCATAATATATGATAATATATATAATACGAAAATCCTGATGTGTGTGTGTGTGTGTGTGTGTGGTGGTATCGATC